AGAAAGAGAGAGAGAGAGAAAGAGAGAGAGAGAGAGAGTTGATTTAAAAAAAAAAAGGCATACCTTAATGTCATCATTAGAATCCATTTCAGGTTCCTCTTCCGTATTCACAATTAAGGAATCGGTAAGCACATGCATATCTGTTGGAGAACCTAAATTTCCAGTAGGCCAACTTGACATCGATACCCGTGGTACTTCCGTATCTGTGGCCCCTTTAATATATTTCATTTCAGGTTTTCCTTATATATGAGAGTTTACAGAAGAAAAAAAGTTAATTTCTCCTGACAAAATGTTATCTTTGTATTAAATAAATGATAACAAAACGATCACCAATATTTCACCGTAGAGTATTTTTCCGATGAACATTCCTCATATGCAATTGTTTAACTATCAAAGAGCTAATAAAATTAGCGAAGATTATAAGTGATAGCTAATTGATAATAATGTAGATGTTATCATATCTCAAATATCAATACCTCTGAGTAATTAAGAATTTTTATAGGAACAAAGTTTACCTGTTTCATCCAGTGGTACTGTCTTGTAGAAACTTTTCACCGGTGAATGTTGAATTCGTTGTCGTCGTTGTTCGTCAACATTTGTTGGTGGAAGCCAACTTCAAATAAATGTTTAATAAATGATAACAAAACTATCACCAATATTTCACCGTAGAGCATTTTTCCGATGAAGTATTTGATGTTTCAAACAATTCAAACAATGAAGAAAATTTTCATCGATAAATAATGAAATGATTTAATTAAGAGAATTCTAATATTCTAATATTCATGCAAAATTCTTTGATGTATAAATAAATACTAAAACGGATTCAGATTTATATAAATTCGGATAATTAACATCTCTATTCATTTTCTTTCTTCCGTATTATCATTTTTTCAGCATGATGATACCAATTTACAGAATTATAAATAAGTGATTCCATCCCGGAAAAGAATATTCCTGTTTTTTTTTTCTATTAATAAAATTCTCGAATTTATATAAATCTGAATCCGTTTTCTATTAATAAAATTCTCGAAATATATATAAATCTGAAACCAATTTACAGAATTATAAATAAGTGATTCCATCCCGGAAAAGAATATTCCTTTTTTTTAATTCAATTTAATAATTTCAATAGTAAACAATGAAATGTTAGCGTTCATAATATCTAAAATAATTGAATCTTCTCTAAAGAACTATTTTGGTTCAAACAATTAAATTAATAATCATACGTTAAATGAGAATTCATTCCTTGGAAATTATTTGTCTTATCATTCCAGGAATTCTCAATATCAGAATGATGATTCGTTATGGTACAGCTATTATTATTGATTGCTGTTGTCGTTGTTGTTGTTGTTGTTGTTGTTGTTGCTGTTATTGTTAAACATGTTGATTCATTCAATTTCTTTTCCTCTTCAGTATTCCATGAATATTCCTTCCTAAATTTGATAATCTTTTTACTTTCAATAAATCACATCTTATTATTGTTTATTTACTTAATAATCACATTTACTCACTCGTTAAGTTTATTTCTTTCATGGTACCATTCATTCACTGGTACCACTCACTCATTTATTTCATTAATGGTACCATTCATTCACTAATCATATCATGTTCACTTACTTCACTAAAGTACCATTCATTCACTAATTTAACCGTACCATTAATTTACTAATAGTACCATTCATTTACCTTATTAGTAGGACATTTATTTAACTCACTAATAGTATTATTCATTTAATTCAACTAATACAAAATATTAGTAACAAGCCAATCAATAAATTTTAATACTATTAAGAACGTTTAATATTATTTTATGAAATTTTTTTTTTTCATATTTTATCATTATTATTGGAATAATTATCAGTGCGATAAACAAACTCAGTTTGTAGCATCGTTTTACAATCAATGCTTTCGTATTCCTCTTCAGCAAATGGTATGATATCTTCGTTGCTTCCTTTTTCTAATTCATTCCTTTCCTCATACTCCTTATCACTATTATGAAGACGTCGTCGTTTCACCTGTGGTTCACGTAATTCCGGATCATTCTCTGATTCATCATCACTCTATAAAATTTAACACTGTTATCATTCAACATTATCATTATCATTCAACTTCCAAATTCTTTATTCATTTTTTCATTAATTTCATTATTTTTTTCCTCGTTCATTTGCTTTTGAATATAACTTAGGAAAAAAAAAAAACCACCTTAACCTTTAATCTCTTTCCTTCCCTTTCTCTTTCTTTCTCTTACTTCTATAAAAGTATGAAATCATATGTGTGTGTCACGTAAACAACAAACAGAAACTACAATAAAAACCAGCATATGTTAAAATAAACATTAAAGTATAAGTAAGCTTATCAACAAATAAATGCTAACACTACTGGAGAAGATATATTTGTAAAGTTATCTCATCATTGAAAGCTGTCATAAAATGATGTGATCACGTGAATGTATGTAATATTAGAAGTATTATTACGATGGACTTATTCACATCCATTTTCTCTTTCGATGAATTTATAAACATCAAATTTTGTTTACATAATAATATATTCTCATAGTTCTCACTACCAAAATATTTCTTTGTATAGTATTTATTGACTATTTGTTATTTTCAACATTATTACCAATAATATAGAATCATACATTATTATCTTTAATTATCATCAATTGTTTATCATCATTAACATTTATCATTCATTATTTATTTTTATTATTATTTAAATAATCCTCATTATCAATTCAGTATCATCATCAATCAACCAAACAAGAGCAATGAAATTTCAAAAATTTCTTAATCATTAGCTAAGCTTTAATATGATCTGATAAAGGCAAAGAATACTTGCTTAATGATAAGCTGATAGGATATCATTCATATAATTCGCAATAAACATTGCTCTTATCATTAGTTTTTTTTTCTCCATTTCTTATTTTTTTATTATTATTAGATTTATAACTTTGCTCAATGATAAGAATATATTTTAGGAATACACAAAATGAATCGTCAACCTAAATCTCTTATTCTATGATTTTATCATTATTGTCACTACTTAATCATTGCAGTATATTACAATTATCACTATTAAAAATGAAGCTTAAAGTGATTGTAGAATATTACAAATTCTGCAATCACTTTAAGCTTCATTTTTAATAGTGATAGTTGTAATATACTTTCAAATTTATAATATCTCATGCCTTTATTTCCTTCAATCATATTACACTTAACCTTTACCTTATCTAACCATTTTACTGTAATCAAAAATGCCAACATAACAGATGCTCAAACATCTGTATTACGACAACAAGGAAAAAAATTCAATGTTTTATCATAAAACATTGAATTGATTGAGATTTCTACAGTAACATTTAAATGTTACGATTGCAAAATCAACGAAAATATTATTCAACGATAGCATCAATAAGATCATACAATGATATCACAAATGATAATAATGGTAGCGTCATCTCTTCATTATTTTTACTTTTGCACATTTATCATTTTCTTAAAAAGTTCTCGAATTTCTTAAAAAAAAAGAAAAACTTAGACGAAAAACAAAAAAAAAAGGAAAAAAATGGCGGGTAATTAAAAACGCTCTTCAAAAGTTTTGAAATGAAAAAAAAAAGTCACCGCTTAATGGAATTTTTCAATTTTCAAATGTATCAAATATCGAATTCAATTATAGCGGAATGAGAATGAAATTAAAGAATAAAATTGGATGAATTTACGCTCAGATGTAATGTGACAATCGAACGTGAAGAAGTAACAGAGGAAGGAGAAATTTCAAAAATGATAAATGAATGAAATTGTAAAAGATCGATATTGCCATTTTATTAATCTTACTGTCATTAAATGTCTCCCTTTCCTCTCCTACCACCAAAAGTAAACAAATTTTAGCAGAAAGTACTTGAAAAATTTTAAAGAGCTCATTTAATTATTGAATTCTTGTTGGTGTAAGATTAAATTCATTTACGAAGATAATTCAAATAATTTATCTGTTAAATGAATATTAACAATTAATGCTAATTCTAAGAATTGTATTAGTAATAACTAAAATAAAAAGTGACAGCGAATAATAATTTTCAGTAAGAGCGAATGTCAAATATCTGAGGAAAACTTTCACAATGTATGCATAAAAGTAAATTCTCAAAAAGCATAATTATATTAATTAAAAAATGACTTTTTTTCCATATTGATAGTAAATAAAAGAAACAATGTATAATTAATGATAAAAGATAAATGTAAAAGTAAAGATAAGTAAATTATCATACGAAAAATAGGAAAGAGAAAGATTACATTGCACTGTTTGGTAATAAAAAATTATGCTTTCCATATTGATAATAAATAAAAGAAACAATGTATAATTAATGATAAAAGATAAATGTAAAAGTAAAGATAAGTAAATTATCATACGAAAAATAGGAAAGAGAAAGATTACATTGCACTGTTTGGTAATAAAAAATTATGC